ACAGAGAGAGAGAGAAAGAGAGAGAGAGAGAGAGAGAGATCGATGGACCGAAGCTTTAAGACAAAACATAATTGATGTCTAACCAATAGGAAGACAAGGAAGATTCTATATCCACTGGAGTATTAGACGTCGTCTCGATTAATAGGAGAAAAGACAAAACAACAACAACAACTCCAATAACAAAAACAACAACAACAACAACAACAACAACAACAACAACAACAATCAAAATATTACAAAGATTAATAATAACAAGATAGCACATTGAAGAGTGCACTCTATAAATATCTAAAAAGATTACATTTATCTTATCTTATCTTATCTATCGATTATACGTACATATATATTCGAACGATCATTATTCGTTAATATCTCCTACATCATCTTGTTATCATCGTCATCATCATCATCATCATCATCATCATCTTCTATCATAGAACAAAACAATGATCATATTGTCTCTTTACGATTACAAAAACGAATTATCTGTTACTTTGTTTGAGCCTATCGCATCGTCACTTTTTCTTCACGCTTACATATTTCCTTTCTTTTTTCCGTACTTCTCTTTGTTTATTTTTATTTTTAATTTTTTTTTCTTTTTCTATTTATTTTATTTATTTATTTATTTTTCTTTTTTTTTTTTTTTTTATGGATTATAATAATATACGTCTGTCAGACATTTCATATGCATCACATCCCCCCCACAATCCCTTCCTAATTTTCTTCCTTCCTATCTCTCTCACCGATCATCAATCCAATCACGTCAACCCACTTATTTTAATTATTGTTGATTATTTAAGATGTTTATTCATTGTTATTACTTTAGAATTGATTAGAGTGATCATATTCTCTCAATGATTAGTGTATCTCGGTTTGTCTGTTATTTTCTCACTAATTATATAGGATATATATATATATATAAAGATATATATATATATATATATATATATATATTCATTATCAATAATTCTATTCGTAATTAGCAAATGAAATATACATATAATATATAACTGCGTCGCAATCATTAACATCATAACGATTTATATATTTATATATATATATATGAAATCGCTTTTGTTGCATTTCATCGGTAATATATTCAAGAAAAATGCTTAAGGAACTATATAGAAATATTAACGAGCGAAATAATATAGAAAGAAATCTATTTTAGAAATCATCTTTGTCAATATCATTTTATACTGACATACTTATTTCTTCAATTAAATGGTTCTTTTTTTTTTTCTTTCCTTTTTTTGCAATTTAGACTTATCTCACGATTAATCTTTTAACGAGTTGAATTTTTCTTTTCTTTTTTTTTCCTTCTTTCTTTCTGTCTTTCTTTTTTTTTTTTTTTTTTTTCTTTTTTTAAGAAACGACTGCGTTACTTGGATCTCAGACGAATTATAGAAGTTAAAAAAAGGCTGCTGTTTTCATACGCACACGTATCTGCACACACACACACACATACACACATGCACACACACACAAATGAACGCAATCGCGTACTTAGACAAAAATTCTATCATGGATTATTATAAATATCATATTGTGTTTTTTAATTTCTTCGTTTTTTGATTTCTTTCCTTTTTTTTTCTTTTTTTTTTTCAAAGATAATTTTCTCACAATTTGTAATAATTTTTATCGCTCACAGACGAACTTAATCTTTTTTTCTGTTTTTCTTTTTTTTTTCGATCTTTTCAATTCTCTAATGATTACGGAGAATTTAATTTTGCGTTTAGATTGAAATTTAAAACTTTCTTTGTTTGCAATCGATGGAACATCATTATCAGTAGACTTAAATAAATTATTATTAAAACAAAAAACAAACAAGAAAAAAAAAAATATATATATATATATATCTAAATATTTTTACGATCAGTGCACGTTATTATACATTAGAATCGCGTGCTGATCATTTTTTTATCTTTCTTTTTCTTTTTTTTTTTTTTTTCTTTCTTTCGGCTCTCATTATTATAACAGATCCAATCTAAATCGCATAGATATCTAATCTCATACAAATTAATTTGAAAACAAAAAAAAAAGTATTAACCAATTTTCTAGCATTAAACTTAACACTAACAGTTTTTGCTTATCGGATTGCACGTGCCAATATTATATATGTAGAGTGTCAAATATACTTTCAATTGATCTGATATAAAAGTTAACAACAACAACAACAAAAATATATATATATACATATATGTATAAAGATATGGAAACAAAAAATAATAATAATAATAATAATAATGTAGATTTGTAATTTGAAATTTTGTCATTCATATATGTTTGAAAATTTTGCAAAAGGAAACAAAGAAAAGAAAAAAAGGAATATTCGAATAAAAATTAATTTCATTTAGGCGTATATAATACTTAATAACAAACAAACAAACAAATAAACAAATAAACAAACAAACAAACAAACAAACAAACAAAAATATATATATATAGAATACTTTAGATTTTTATATATATGTGAAATTTTGCAAATAAAGAAAAGAAGATTTGAATAAAAATAAATTTCTATTCAAATGTAAAAATTCATCAAATCACGTGTTTAGATTAAATTTAATTTATAATTAAAATGATAGAGATAGAGATAGAAATAGAGATAGATAGATAGATAGAAAGAGAGAGAGAGAGAGAGAGAGAGAGAGAGAAAGAGCATAATAAATAATTATTCGTACATATATCCAAACGATTAATAAAAATTACATAGAGATATCGATGTTAAATAAATTATCCGAGAGAAAAATTAATTAATATGTAATAGTTTACACAAATGACACTTGTGCACTGACCGATAAAAGACGAAAAAAAGAAAAAGAAAAAGAAAAAAAAAACAAAAAAAAATAGAAAGAAAACTTATCGCCGTTGATTTGAACAAGATTAATATGTACAACAATAAACACGTTATTATATGATAATAAATGGGTTTCTCTCTTAGTTTATCAATTAACATCCTTAACTCGTAACTGATAATTCGTAATGATGGAAATTTTGATCACCTGACGGAGAAAAATTATGATGGGATCTTATTTAAGATCCCCTCAGAGATATGTTCGAAACTTTATTAAAATTTAATCAAAAAAAAAAAAAAAAAAAAAAAGAAAAAAGAAAAAACGAAAAAGAAAAACAAAGAAGAAGAAGAAAAAAGAAAAGCCAGTATCGCGAGTTATATTCAATTTATTATTATTTATTTACTAATTAAAAAAGAAAATAATTAAAAATATAAATTCTATCGTATTAATAATTTATTACTATAAATATTCAAAATTATTATTAATTGATTGCCCGACAAATCTCAGATTATCAGTTACGAGTTAAAAATCTTGCTTCGTCCATGTTAATTGTCCATCATTTGTTATGCAAAACGCATTGAAGTTTTGTTATACCCTCGCATGTATTAAAAAATCACTTACTGAGTGATTTATTATCCATTAAATTGTCTTCATCTATACGGTATTTATTGCACCAAACGAATGTAAGGAAAAAAAAACAAAAAAAAAAAAAACAAAACAAAAAAAAAACAAAAATATATTTCTCGTTCATCCATTTACAATAATACTAAAGCATAGAGACACATATATTTATTATAAAACCTTCGAGAACTCGAATAGCCATTCCAGAATGGACGAAGAAAAAAGTTATATCACGGTATCTAACTTTTTGTCCTTAAATTAATTCATAAGTTGCAACAAGTTATGAAAAAAATTTCCAATTGCTTCGAGATGATATTGCCCGATTGATTTTGAAAAGTAATTTGATAATATTAATAATATATATTATATGTGAAGTGTAATATAAAGAGAAGAAAAGAAGAAAAAAAAAAAAAGAAAAAGAAGAGAAAAAAAAAGGAAATAAATGAAAACTTTTAAAATGTATCATTTTTAGAATATACGAATTTTAAATAATTTTTTTTTTCTTTTTTTTTTTTTAAAGGATATATACAATTTTGACAATAAAAATACTCAATGTAGAAAAGTATAGAGAATTATTTTTTTTTTTTTTCCTTTTAATTTTAATATTTAAAACATCCGAAACAATTTAACTTTTTAACGATCAACTTTTATTAAAAAAAAAATTGTCCAATGAAAAACAATTTGAATTCTTATTTTAATCATTTGGTAAGTATATTATGTGTCGCGCAAAATAAAATCAAAGAGAAATTAAGAAATAAGAAATATTATAAAAAGGACAGTACGATAAGAACATTCGCTCCTTAAACTATTTTCTCGACTTCTGCAAATCATCATTAATGACGAATAAGAAGAATGAAAGAAATTGCGGTAAGTAAAGTGATTAACAAAGATTGGAATGTTCTTCCATATCTCAGGTAATCTTCTCGACGAAGCTGAAGTTCTCGATTGGATGGTGAAACAGAAAACCGACGAGAGCATCGAGGAGATTGATCGAGAGACTCTAATGAAGTATATTGATACGAAGGAATTTCTCGCAGTTATTTTTTGTAAGAAGAATCTATTCCTATCCTTCATTTATTAGGTTGGCCAATAAGTAAAAAAAGAACGAACAAACAAATATACAAAAATGTTTAAACAAAATAAACGTACGAATGAATAAGTACAATAATCCAAAGGGTAATCCTATAAAAAGGAATAATATATTATTTAATAAAACAAAAATAAAAATAAGACGCTAATAAAAAATTAACTCAATTTTTGTTCGTGCGTTTATATGAAAATTTATTAATTATATCGATATATTTTTATATATTTAATGATTGGCTTATTTTCTTTCTTTCTTTTTTTTCCTATTTATCACAGCAATACTATTGTACTGTATAATAAGTATATATATTCTTTAAAGGGAGAAAAAAAAAAAAAGAAGAAAAATTGATTTAATTATTTGCTTTATTATTACTTATTGACCGACCAAATATATATATTTTTTTCAAATCTGAAATATTTCTTTTTTTTTTTTTTTTAATTAAAGTATAATATTTAATTGATATTACTTAAAATATCCATTATATCTAAATATTTTTTTCTAATACTTAGAAAATATCTCTTTACTAGTACAAAACATATTAAATTGTTAAATTAATTTTGAAACGTACATACATACATACATACATACATACATACATACATACATACATACATACCTTCACTTTGTTCCATTATATACAACCATTGGAGGATCTTTGTGAATATTTGTTAAAACAATAAATAGATATGTATTTCCTCTGCCATTCTTTTCGAATGTATTATTCACAGACAAAGAAGAAGATCCAGAAACTCCACGAGTACTCAGGCACGTCGAGTTGATCGACGACGAAGCTGCTGAGTATGGAATCAAAATAGTTCGTATGAAGGATCGTTTAATGGCGAAAAAATATGGTTATCGTAACCCACCTGGTATAACATATTTCCGGAAAGGTAAAAGTACGAATTACGATGGTGATATAGACGACGAGGAAGAGATTCTTGATTGGTTAACCGATCCTGATAACATGGAATTAACGGATCACATTGAAAGAATTAATAAGAAGATGTTTCATAAAATACGTCAATCTACTGACTACTTGGCTGTATTTTTTTGTGAGTATATATTTACAAAAATATAATTTATTATTAACGCTTAATGATAGAATGATTACACAGGTATTAATCTTAATAATTTATGTTATAAAAAAAAAAAAAAAAACAAAATACTACGCACCTCTCTCTATTTCTCTCTCTTTCTCTCTCTCTTGCAGTAAATTTGGCCATTAGCCAATATTTTTTTATTTTGTAAAAAAAAAAAAAAACCCCTGTCGACTTTTAAGAGTTAAATATATAAGAAATAATAAATAATAAATAAATAATAAAAAATAATAAATAATAAAATAATAAATAATAAGTAAATAATAAAAATATAATAAAAAGATAATAAATAATTTTCGCACTAATATAATAATAAATAATAATATAAATAAATTTTATATCCCTTACCAATTTGATCACTATATTTGTGTGTTTAGACAGCACCGACTGTAAACAATGTAGTAGAGTTCTGGCAGAGATCGAGCACATCGACGATGAAGCTGATAATGCCGGAATCAAATTTGTAAAGATCGACGACAAGGAACTTGCCAAACATTACGGAGTATTTGCATTACCAGGAATCCTCTTTTTCAAGCTGACATCGAAAGAACCGGTGATATTCGCTGGTAAGAACAAAATTAATAGTAACGATATTTATTAATAATTAATTTAAAACTCCAAAGAATCTACGTTACGAACGGGGAACGATCGATCATAAAAGCCATTTTGAAATTTTTCTACTTTTTGAAACTCGCGGTTTTTTTCAAAATTCAAACTCTTTATTTTCAAACTCTTTAATTCGATTTTTAGAATTAATATTAATAGTAATATATATATAAATATATATATATATATCACATTAGATTTAATTTTTATAATAATAGTAGTTAGTCGATTGAGCGTATATTAAAACAGAAGACGATCGAGAAATGCCATTTTTGAATTGTTACTTTTAAAAAATCGCGGTTTTTTAAAACATAAAATTATTGATGTTTAAACGATTATTTAATATGTCATAATTATTCGTAGCTCAATTTTTAGCCAATGTAATATCGTTTACAAGAGTATTATGATTTTATCATAAAATAACATAACAAATTCGATCGAGACATAATGATAATAATAATAATAATAAGAATAAGAATAAAAAACATAATAATAATAATAATAATAATAATTAATGTTAATTATTCATACCTGTTAATCTTATATTACTTGTGTGTCATCGAAGGAGATCTCTACGACGAAGAACAAATTTTGCAATGGTTAATGACGCAAAAGGATCCATCGGGAGAGGCAATCGAAGTTTTGGATGGTGAAGAACTTCTGAATCTAATTCGAGAATCGGAATCCTTGGCCGTATATTTCTGTAAGTCTCTTAATGCATATCAATATTTTAATCGCATAAAATCAAATTGCCTTCTCTCATCGTTTCTTCCGTACGACATAAACTAAAATGGCGAGTCAGTGCGCATGCGTCTAAAACGCTGTTACCTGATTGGCCTATCGATGCGCCATCTCTTGAAATTCTTAGGTACTACGGAAGCGCGAAAATTTGTTTCATTTAAATAATATTATCTCTTACATGCATATATGTTAAATAAGAACTGCTCATGTTAAATAAAATTTTTTAATTAAATTTCAGAAATATATACAACCATACACGCACAAACACATACACACACACACACACACATACATACATACGCATTTCATAATTAAATTGCTTTTTATCAACTAAATTCTGTCTATATATAATCACACTAATGTTATTATTATACATATAGATATTTCATGTGACTAACGCTCTGAAATCAATCAACTGCTATATTTATTATGAATTTTCATTATTCTATTTATCAAACCTTGGGTTCACCTATTGCTTTCAATGGAAATTCAAAAGTTCGCTTTCATGGAGGAATTGAAGGAAGAACTTTCGGCTTCTATTAAATGGACAAAAATAATGAAATTTTAGATTATCTGACAGACTAAGGTATCAAAAGGATATTACTTTTATGTACATATATATATATATATATATATATATATATATATATATATATACATAACTTCTGAGAAAGAATAAAGAAAATAATCTTGGATCATTCGGATAGATTTTAACAAAATAATGCACACTATAACTTACATAGTAAGCTCTTTTCTATGTTTCTATAATTTCTTTTTCTTTAGATGGTATATTCAACGAATTAAGCATTCATTTGATCTAAATAACTTGTTCAAAAAAGTGGTGTACACGTGTATACTATAATGTCGTAGGGAACAGAACGCTTTGCGACATGTGTCAAGCAAAAATGCATCGCAAGCAGACACGGCACAAGGAGCACAGGATCAACGAACACGAGACAACCGAGGATGCTGACGGTACAAATTAAAAAAGAAAAAAAAAAAAACGAAGCAAAATAAAAGTAGAAAAAGAATGAATAAAAAAAAAAAAAAGAAACATTTAAAGACAAATTAATGATCCTGATTAGTGTTGTCTCTTCTCGTGATTATGCGAAGAGGCATTTAACATCATGCATACATACAACAACAACAACAATGACCAACAAACAAACAACACACACGTACAATTGATACGTGCATTTTGTCAACTAATTACACTTTTTAGAGATTGATCCTTAGAAGAAAAAAAACAAAAAATAAAAAAAAGAACGATTTAGATCATTCTCTTTTTTTACAAAAAAAAAAAAATCACAATATAACTAAGTTACATCTCCCTCAGTCGAACAATTTTTTCAAGAATATTTTCAATCCAATTTTCTTTAGATATTTTGATTAAACCTCTGACAATGTTTATATATAGGTGCACGAGCATTTAAGCATGCGAGTTATACATCCAAATGGCAATGGTAGTGACTACTCTCCTCCCCCCCCTGCAGAAACACCACCCCCCGCCCAGGCTGTGAATAATGTGTTCAATATATTCTCTCTTCATAATTTCATGTATTTCTTTGCACGGTAGATATAACTTAGCAGTTCAATGGCATGCACAAACACGCAAGCGACGTCACAAATATAATTTATTTTTTTTTTCTTGTTTTTTTTATTTTTCTTTTTTCATTATGAAAATAAAATACCATCATGTCCTCGAATAATAATAAGAAAAATATTAATCTACGATTAATATCATTAAATGTATTACAATGATATTTTGTTCTCACTTAGACATTGACAATTGTGAACAATGTACCGGGATCTTAGAAGAATTAGAAAATATTGACGACGATTGTGACAGACATGGTATCACTTTTATAAAGACACAGGTAAATTGATGATAATTTTTCTATCATATCGATAACGTTATTACCGTTATGATTTATCGTTTAACATAATTTTTTTTTTTTTTTTTTTAATAACGTTAAAAAAAATCACACGCCATTGTGTTCACTTTCAGGATCATAAAGTGGCAGAGGATTATGGCGTTACTGATTTTCCAGTTCTCGTTTATTTTGAAAATCAAATACCTAATGTATTCGAAGGTTTGCATCATATATATATATATTTCTAATGTTTTCTATCAACTTATTTTCAAAAACATTCTTATTATCTATTATAGGTGATTTGGCCGTAGAAGAGGAAGTATTACAATGGCTAATCACACAGAAAACTGAAGATCGCATCGAATTGATAACTCGTATTATGTTGGAAGGCTTTGTCGAAGAAACACAATATCTTGCCGTTTATTTTTGTAATATTCAAATTTTTGAATTATTATTAATAACAATTAAACGTTCAAATCAAAAAACAAAAAGATATTTTCTTTCTCTATTTTAGACAAACAAAATTGTCATATATGCGACGAAATATTAGAAGGTTTAGAAAGAATCGACGACGAATGTGACGTCTTTGGTATACACTTGGTTAAGATTCAAGATCCACAACTAGCGAAAAGATATTCCATTAAAACTTTTCCTGCTCTAGTTTACTTTCGTAATGGCAATCCTCTTTTGTTCGAAGGTCTCTCTTTCTCTTTATTTCTCTTATTAACATCATACATTATAAGAATACTGAGTTTAAATACAAATTTTCTTATATATTCTAGGTGATCTACAAAATGAGGAATCAGTTTTAGAATGGTTGATAGACGATGAAAATCGTGAATTGGCTGATGAGATTGAATCCGTCAACGAAAGGATGTTAGAGAGATTATTGGATGAGTCGCCATTTTTGGCGGTCTTCTTTTGTAAGTCTTCTTTAATATATCCGTTAACGATAAATGATAAAATTATTTAAAAAAAAAAAAAAAAAAAAATCAAATTAAATAATAATATTCTCATTGATACCATAACGATAAATTGATTAATAGACGACGAGGATTGTGCTGAATGCGGTGAAATTATGGAAGCATTGGAAAAGATCGACGGCGAGGCCGATCTTTTTGGCATTGATTTTGTTAAGATATCGAGTACCGAAACTGCTGAGAAATATAATATCATGAATGTACCATCCTTGGTATATTTTCGTAAGAGAACTCCTCTTATTTACGACGGCGATCTCACCCAAGAGGATAAAATTTTACAATGGCTTACTTCCCAAGATGTTTTTGAGATAAAGAATGAAATCGAGGAAGTTAACAAGAAGATGCTCGACAAATTATTAGATGAAAATGAATTCCTCGCAGTCTTCTTTTGTAAGCATACAATTGACTATCTGAAAAGTATTAATTAAAAATTAATATCCAACGATTATAATCAAAAATTTTCTAACTACACTTCTTGCTTCTCTTTATTTTTTCTCTCTCTCTCTCTCTCTCTCTCTCTCTCTCTTTTGTTTCTTTTTTCTTTTCAATCGATTATAATTAAAAACTTTTCAAATGCAAAGATTCAAATAACAATTAGCAATTATAAATTTTCTAACGATTATAAATTATTTATATATATATATATATATATTTCCTCAGATGAATACAACAATACGGAGAGCGAGAAAGTTCATGAAAAATTAGAAACGATCGATGGTGAAACGGATAATTTAGATATAACATTTGTAAAGATGGCTGATCCAAGATACGCTAGAAAATGGGGTGTCACTAAGCTTCCAGCTATCGTTTACTTTCGTAAACGTTTTCCCAGCATTTACCGAGGTATATAATAAAAGAACAAAAGAATTTACTTATCTTTTAAAATATTTTAGATATAATCTATCTAATTAATACTATATATATATATATATATATATATATATATATATATATATATATATACATACTTTTAACTTAAAGGTGATCTTCATAAAGAAAATGAAGTTCTCGAGTGGCTTCGCAAAAACAGATACCGCCAACCAGAATTAAACATCTACATGTATATACTAATAGCGACTACGGTGGTCTTTGCGATGTACACTGGTTTCCTGCTTTCATATTTCTGATCGGAATCATCGATGCTATCCAATGGCTCATACGAAACAACCTTGAAAAATGTATTCTGTCGATATCTGAAAATAATTAAAAATGAAAATAGTATGATTTAAGCCGATAAGTAAAAATAAAAAAAAAATTGATAATAATAATAATAATAATAATAATAATAATAATAATAATAATAATAATAATAATAATAATAAAACAAAAATAAAGAAAGAAAAATAAATAAGAAGAGACGATTAAGATAAACGTTTAGGGGGAAAAAGAGAAAGAAAATGAATGAATGAATGAACGAATGAACGAATGAACGAATGAACTAACGTAAGAATAATAAAAACATATAGTAAAGCTTATAATGAACGAATTTATGATTGTATGGAATGAAATATTGAATGACGAATGTGCACAAAAGTTTACTTTCAAAAATTAAGAAAAAAAAACGTTCGACTTCTCTCGACTCGATAATAATAAATAATAAATAAAAAAAAAAAAAAAATAATAATAATAATAATAATAATAATATCATATTAGAATATGAGATCGATGCACTCTCTCCATATGCCGGTGATTTTGATTATCATCTCACCGATATTATTTGCCCTGCTAAAAATTTCCATTTAATGCATCACTATGATATAGCACCTAGCACATAAGAAAGGCATTGTGAATCATCTTAGTAGATTTGTTCGATAGAGATCGTTTCATGTATCTAACGTTTAAACGTTTAAAACGCAAAGCAAAAAAAAAAAAGATAAAAAAAAATCAACAAAAACTCCTAAAAAAGAAAAACCAAAAAAGAAAATAAAAAAAAATAAAAAGAAAAGAAACAAAAAAAAGAGAGATCTTTCCATGGAAATTAAATAATTAATGCGGACCACTGGAACATTCCTAAGAGAGAAAAGAAAAACGAAGAGAGGAAAAAAAAAGAAGGAAAAAAAAAAAGGAAACAAGACAAGATAACAGATAGTACGAACCTTATTATCTTGGATTCTTATAATAACGCTTGAATTGAGACGGTGATTATGAGAGTGGTCTGTTAATTATTTGATATATTAAACGGGCTATATTTCCTACGGGTCATTCTTGAAAATTACAGAAAAGAATTAATTTTTCTCTGGAATAAAATATATATATATATATATATATATATATATATATATATATTTACATTATCTCTATTCCAGTCTCTGTATTATAATTAAAATAATTTTGAAATAATTCAAAGAGTCCCCCTCCCCCCGCCTCCGAACGCTTACCCACATAACTCCCTGAAAAAAAAAACGCTCTTCGAATTTTTTTTTTTTTTTTTTTTAAATATTTATCCATTCAGAAAAAAGTATATGTAAATGAATTTAGATCACTCTCATAATCACCGACTCTAAATTATGCTCTTATTATAATATATTTATATTATCATTCATTCATTTATTTATATATAAAATTCTAACGCGTTCGATGAGAAAATTCTTTTGTTTTATTTATTTATTTATTTATTTATTTATTTATTTATTTATTTATTTATTTACTTACTCACTTACTTACTTACTTACTTACTTACTTACTTATTTATTTACTTTATTTACTTTATTTGCTTTATTTTCTTTCGTTAATTTGCATAACAAAATTTTTACAATCATGCTCTGCGAGAATAATATTCGTTTTGAATCTGGCAAACGTTTTATTATATCACTCTTACAGATAGAATTTTTGGCAGGGTATACATGTGGACCAAATGTATCGTATCTAGAGATCATGTTTTAGATCATTTAAACGAAAGATCTATAGATTAAAAAAAAAAAAAAAAAAAAAAAAAAAACAAACAAATAGAAATATGGTTATCGATGTAAACGAGAGTAAAAAAGGACAAAAAATGAATAATATGAGAGAAGAAAATATATATATACATATACATATATATATATATATATATGATAAAAATAAAAAGGAATAAAATGGAGAAAGAAAGAAAGAAAGAAAGAAAGAAAAAGAAAAACTCAAGAAAGCGTGCGTTAAATTCAGATTTGATTATCCTTTTGATTTATAACAAAGCTAAATGATGATATCGGGTTTACAGAAAGTATGGGTAACATTTTGGAATAATTGACGTTGAAACAAGATTTTAATATATATATATATGTATATATATATATATATGTGTGTGTGTGTGTGCGTGTGTGTGTATATAACATCCCTTAGACGTATGTATATATCACTGTTTCGTAATTCCTTTGATTTCACTGTTTCTCAAACTTCTTCCCTATGGGAATATATTAAAATATTAAAAATCGCGTGTATGTAATGCCTTTACCACTTGATCTAAAGTAAACTCATGCAGATAATTCCAAAAACGATTCTACACAAAGAATATCACAGAGAATATATATATATATATATACATATATATATATATTAGGAAGGATATTATCAAGAATTGGATTATCATGTTGCACATAAGTCAAGTAACATATGGTCACCATATAAAATATCTATAATATAATGCGACAGTTTAAAGAAATTTCATGAGAGTTTATATATTATAAAAATGATATCCATACTAAAGTTATATCGTACTGTGATCCTTGTCAAATCTGGAACAGTTTAAAGTGTTTATCATAATTCATGTAAACAAAAAAATTCCACCCCCTCCCCTCTTCCCCCGTTATATATAAAATCAAAAGTTGTATTTTTAAAGAAAAATTATTATATATACGAAGGAGTGCTGTTACGTGTACGAGAGAGAGAGAGAGAGAGAGAGAGAGAGAGAGAGAGAGAGAGAGAGAGAGAGAGAGAGAGAGAGAGAGATAGAGAGAGAGAGAGAGAAAAAAATATTGGGAAATAAAAGAAAAAGGATGAACGTTTATATGGAAGAGAGATTTTTACGAAAATTGATCTCTATTTTTTTTTCTTTTTTAATTTTTTCGTTTGTTCTCCTTTCTTTTTGAAAATCAGCGATTTTTCTCTCCCTTTTTCTCTCCATCTTTATTTAAATATAATTATTTTCATTTTAACGATTATTCGCTCACAAAAAAAAAAAAAAAAAAAAAAAAAAATGAAGAAAAAGAAAAAAAACACGAGATTCCTCTTTTTGATTAAAATGAAACAAGTAAAAGAAAAAAAAAAAAAGATAAATAAATAAATAAATAAATAACATCCAAGAGGAATTTATAACGAAAAACTTTAACTCCGGAGCAGATTCCGCTTTGTTCTTTTTTTTTTTTTTCGTTCTTTTTTTCTCTTGACACGTTGTTTACTTTAAGGAATGTTTATCCATCAATATGTGACACACAAATCAACATATACGTATATAAATAATTAATAATTTATATTAATTATAATTTCGAGATATAGATAGAAATTATTATATGACGCACTTTATTCTACCGCTTATATGTTATACTGTCGAGAGGCTTATCGAATTTATTAGCGATCCAATTGTTGATAATCTTTTAACCAAATAGATTGTGTCCGCTGATATTTTGTGCGATCGCGAAACGTTCGACGAAACTTATTTAAACGAAAATTTATACGATATTACGAATTTACAATATGTTAACATAAACAAAACAATGAAAAAAAAAAAAAACAAAACAAAACAAAACCAAAAATATTTAGTTGAATTTATATTTTACAAATTAGTTAAATACTTTTAATCAAACGTTAACATTACTTACACTTTGTTCATTAGTGTGAATGTCCATTTGCGTAAATCATATCTGAACAATTTTCTGATTTCTTTACGTTAACTAGCTAATTGTAAATAATCGTTTATCGTCAATAATTCTCCTCGGTAGAGGTAAGGAAGAGAGAACAAAAAAAAAAAAAAAATACAAAAAAAAATACAAAAAAAAAAGAAACAGAAAGAAAGAGAATGATTTTAATTGAACAATAAATACCTCACAATAATCGGGGCATTACCTTCTTGTCATGGAAAAACAGACCAATTTCACCATAGCTATGAAAAGAAGATCAATAATCAGAAAAAATAAAAAAGAAATGAATAATATATAATTTAATGATACATATATTAATTATATATAATTGCTATTATTAAATATATATGTCAATCTTTCGCTAAATTCAATGAAAATTTTAATAAAAAACTAAAAAACTTTTGTAGATTCCTGTTTTACCGATTCATCTGTCGGTAATGGTATATCCTTATTTAACTGCAGTTAGTATAAGTAGATATTTGTTTTATCGACTAACGATAAATCTTAAACTCAACCCGGCATTTATCTCGCGAGTATATTCATCACTTAATTTTTAGCTATAATATATTGATATAGATTTCAAAAATAAAATTAAACATAGTTAAAAGATTAATAATAATAATAATAATAATAGTAATAATAATAATAATAATAACAATAATAATAGTAATAGTAATTGTTATAATATAAATAATAAAACAAAATATATTAAACATATTATTACAAATAACAAAAATATAAATTAAATTTTTATCATTTAAAGGAAAATGAACGTACTGGTCTTACGAAGGATTTGGCAGGATCAACAGGATGATAAAATGGATTATGAGCGTCAATAAAGAAAGCAGGGAAACGTCACAGGATTCATGTATAAATCGGATTCACGTATGTTTCATAGTGTGATTCGTTCTTAACTGGAAAAAAAAAAATATTAAATTACAAACAAATTTCACGAAAAACAATAGATTAAACAAATCGTAAAAATTTATGTTTGTTCCTACGAAATATTATATTTCACATTATTACATCTCATCGCTATATCATTTATCTTATATTTAAAAAAAAAAAAAAAAAAAAAAATGTTGGTCAACTTTTAACATAAGAATATATAGTAGTAAGTTTTGGTTTTATTTTATTTATTTTTTTGTTTTTTTAATTTATTTTTATTTAACGCAACTGCATCATAAGTAATACATATGATCGTAAAATTACGCACTCTCTGCCTTATATCCTTTTTTAATTTAATCTCTCCTTTTTGTAAAACATTTAACCTTTTAATCGGAGCCAAAGTGAAGCTGCTATATGGGCGGTCGTTTATAAAATTTATTTAATTAACCAGCGTCGAAGAAAAACAATAACAAGTTTAAGATAACAATATCTCTCTTTCTCTCTCTCTCTCTCTCTCTCTCTCTCTCTCTCTCTCTCTCTCTCTCTCTCTCTCTCTCTCTGCAATTATTCTTACTATTTGTTTGTTAGTTTTTTTTTCCTTTTTTCCATAAAATAATTATAAATATGATAAATACCAAATTGCAAGAAAAAATATTTTCATACAATTTTTCTCTTAATATATATGTACGTTCTTATATATTCACGTATATATAATATGTATATTATATGTATATCTATTTTCGTATTATTCAGATCGTTAATTTATCTTTTTAATTTTTAATTATTATATCATTGAAGCGATACTTCTACCGACCTTTTATTAATACTTCGCAGTGACAATCTCGTTTATATAAAAACAGACTAGGCAAACCCTTCACCTTCGAACTTCTATTGAATAACTACCGTTTCTCTATGACGCAGAAATATATTTTTTATTGTCTCGAAACATGACACATGTTATAATCCAGTTATGACCAGTCCACCCGAGTTGCTCTTCGATTATATTAAAAAAATTAACGTATGTACAAAAAAGAAAAAATAACATAATGTAATAATTAAAAAGAAATTAAAAAAAAAAAATGTATATATATATATATATATATATATATATATATATAAACGTAAACATTCAACAATAAATTTTTTATATTAAACGCGTCATCATTTTTATTACAATAATTCAATCATAAGTTACTTCTGTATCATCCATATAAAACAACTTTAAATTTAATAAAAATATTTTTAAAATATTTTATAATAATAATAATAATAATAATAATAATAATAATAATAAAAATAATAAAAATTAAATATGAACTTTTGAATAATGGAGCATGGTCATATCTGTTTACTTGTGTCACGTTATCTAAGGGATATATCTGTACTTATCGAAATGTACAATAACAATGCGAATGAACGTAAAAATTAATTAATGATTCACTTAGAACACTGTTAAATTTATATATATATTTATATATATATAAATATATATATATATATATATATATATATATATATATATGCCTCGTGCGTATAATACACAAATGCAATGAAAATACATTTGCGCAAATAAATTATCTACTTTGTTATCACACTTAATTCATTCGATCACTTAATCATAGCCTATAATGTATAGTTTGTTGAAATTCTTAAAAATTATAAAAAAGAATTATTAAAAAAAAAAAAAAAAAAATATAAAGAAAACAAAAAAAAAATAAAATAAAATAAAATAAAATAAAATAAAATAAAATAAAATAAAAAAATAAAATAAAATATAATGTATGCGTAAAAACAAATCATACACTTATAATACCGGGATGGTTCATATATAACAAAGCCATACTCTACGAGATACCTGTCGTAAAATATACGAGAGACGACACACAACCTTGAATACTTTCGAATTAAAGAGAAGTGCATAACATTTCCTATTTTTTGTGACTTTTTCTTTTTTTTTTCTTTTTTTCTCTTCTCTTTTTCTTTTTCTTTTCAAAATGATTACTACTATTACAAATCGATCGTCAATCGAATTATCTATTTATTTGAAATTAATCATCGATGATGATAATGATGATGATATTATTATTTTTATCATTATTATCATTAACGGTACATGTTCGTTTATATATATATATATATATAGGCTGTGCCAAAAACTTCTAGGTATCCTTAAAAATCAATCACTCTTTTTTTCGAGGAGCTTTCGTTTTTATAAGCTCGTAATTGAAAAACTGTCAATTTCTCTGTGGTAAGGCTTGTAAAAGTTTTATAATCTGATAAAACGTTAGCCTTAAAAAAAAGAAAAAAAAAAAAGAAAAAAAAGAGTCTCAAGAGCGATTGAATTGAATTTTAAAATTACTTAGAAAAAAAATCTTGTAGCCTATCCTGTATTTTTTATTTCTTTTTTTCTTCTTTTTTTTTCAAGCTAGCCGATTTTTATTCACTATTAAAACAAAAAACAAGAAAAAATTCTATTATAGACAAAAGTAGGCTCAAGAAATACTTGTTTACTACTCTGCTGTTGCTGCTGCTGCCTGCTACTATATATATGTATATCACTAGATTTTCTGTCCTCTCTCCTCTCTCTCTCTTTTTCTAATCAATAATTAATTGCTAATCACATTTGTTTAATATATACGAGAAATATTGTAACAATATAAAACATAATACTACCCCCCCTTCCCAATAAAACAACAACCAGCACAGATTGATCATCAGCAGAGAAAGTTTTATTAAATAGATTAATGATCATCGTACTGCAACCGGAGATTATATATGAATCCTTACGTATGTACTCCTACATTACTTTTTTTTCTTTTTTTTTTTTTCTTTTTTTTTTTTCTTTTTTTTTTTTTTTTCTTCTTTTACTTTTTATACTAACACCTAATATCATTCAATCGAAGTTGTTAATCACGAAAGATAAAAGATATACGCCTTCGACTTTTTTTTGAAATCCCATGATATACATATATATATATATATACATATATGTATATGTATATATATACATATAGATATCATATAATGTGACAAAGAATGTACATACGTTTTTCTATAAATGAGATTATTTCAGTCAAAAATAATAAATTTATTAATGACACTTTAATCTCATTATCAATAGTGATTAAGAAACATAGTCAGTTTCAAAAACACGTACGTGCCATCACTCTCTCTCTCTCTCTCTCTTTCTCTCTCTCTCTCTCTATTGTCTTTTCATAATCCTGCTGTAAACATAATTCAATCCTTTTACTGTCTCTTATCTAGGGACAATCGAATTATTTAATTACCTCGATATAACATAATATATCAATATATCATCTCCATATATTATATTCATTCTGCATCATAGGTCTTTGACGATGATAATAATAATAATAATGACGACAACCATGACGCGTCGCCAATGACAATAATAATTAATTATCTTTCAATAGAAAGATATTCCATGAAATGAAGATATACCAAAACAAAACAAAACAAAACAAAAATTAATAATTTTTAATAAAAAGAGGACAAAATCATTCTTCTTCAGATTTGAAGAAGGATGTGATGATAAATATTATTAACCTCCTTTCATCAATACTTTCGTATAGAACTTGCTGCTACCGATTATTATTTTTAACTTAAATATCTCTCTGCTATATCTCTGATGATATATTCACTCTCTCTCTCTCTCTCTCTCTCTCTCTCTCTCTCTCTCTCTCTCTCTCTCCCTCTCCCTCTCTCTTTCTCTCTCTCTCTCTCTCTCTCTCTCTCTCTCTCTCTCTCCCTCTCTCTCTCTCTCTTTCTCTCTCTATCTCCCTCAATCTCTCTCTTTCTCTCTTACTCTCAATCTCTCTTTCTCTCTCTCTCTCTCTCTCTCTCTCTCTCTCTCTCTCTCTCTCTCTCTCTCTCTCTCTCTCTCTCTCTCTCTCTCTTTTTATACATCAGCTTTCTTCCTTAGCTATGCTAAAATACTTGAAGAAAAAGCCAACTTGTGTTTCCATCCCACTTGTGACAGATGGATAACACCACGAAACGATTTCCATTTATCGTTCGACGATGGCTTTCGATATGATTCGATCGAGAATTTCTTTCTTTCCTTCTTTCTTTCTTTCTTTCTTTCTCTTTCTTTCTTTCTTTCTTTCTTTCTTTTCTTTTTTTTTCTAATTTCTTTCCATCTACCTCTTTTATGCAACAACGCCAGTTATTACACCTCCAGCTCCAGGTAGACCGGTTGATCCCATTAAATCAACATCTATTTCTCTTGCGGCTTGTCTTCCTTCAGTTATTGCCCAAACAACCAATGATTGTCCTCGTCGACAATCTAATTATCCAAATTATTTATATTTTGTAGAAAATTATTGCATGTTGTATATGTATATATATATATATATGGAGCCGTTAATTTTGAAAGTAGGGCGTCCATTTTTTTCTTTTTTAAATGAATAAAAACAAATTTTATATTAATTTCTAGTAAGAATTAGCTTTAACTATTTTTTTTTTCCCACAAAATGGATGTCCTCCATTTTGAGAATCAAGAGCTCATATATGTATATATATATATATATATATATATATACATACATTATATTTATTTATTCATGTAAAAAAAAAAAAAAAAAAAAAAAAAAAAAGAAAGAAAGAAAGAAAAGCTCGATTACCTCCAGCTGCATAGATTCCAGGCAAACTGGTTTTGTATTTGCCCATTGGAGTTTCATAATTTCCACGTGCATCCATTTTCGTTTGCAACTCGTCGGCAATATATTTCTCTGGGCCCAAGAATCCCATAGCAAGTAAAACTAAATCACATTTATATATCTGCAAAAATAAAATAATTGATTAATATATATATATATATTAAAAAAAAAAAAAAAAAAAAAAAAAAAAAAAAAAAAAAAAAAGTGGGAGGGGAGAGTGATTGACTTTTGATAATTTTTTATTAATTATCTTATCTATCTGACCTTCTCAGTTCCAGGAACTTCATTTGGTTTCCATCCACCGGCAGAATTCTTTGTCCATTCTATAGTTATAGTCTTGATACCACTCACATGTCCATTACCATCACTCAAGAATTCCTGATTGTCAAAATTTAATTCATTTTAAATTATACAAATATATATATGTCACTCTCTCTCTCTCTCTCTATCTCTCTGTGTGTATATGTATGTGTGTATATAATGTAATAAATTTAAATTGTAGATTTTGTTTACCTTGCTGCCAGTACTAAATCGACGAGGATCACGACCAAATTTCAAGGCCACTTCTTCATGACCATAATCTACTTTAAACACTCGAGGGAATTGAGGCCAAGGATTATCCGCACCCCTTCTACCGGGTGGTTCGGGTAAGATTTCAAAAGTAGTAATTGTTTTAGCACCCTATATAATGTTATATGTATATATAACAAAAAAAAGAAAAAAAAATATGAAAACTTGTCTATATCTTATCGATCTTTTATAATTATTATACCATTAGCATTAATCGAATAATATTAAAAGTAATATGATTACCTGACGTAAGGATGTTGCAATACAATCACAGCCGGTATCACCACCACCTATTATAATAACATCTTTATCCTGTGCCATAAGTCGTAAATCCAATGGGGTTTCATTACCCATTTGCTTTTTCTGCCAATGTTCTAGAAAACTAACAGCAAAGTGAATTCCTTCGAGTTCCCTACCAGGAATCTGTAAATCTCTAGGCCATGTTGCACCAGTGCAAAGTAATACCACATCATACTGATTTTTCAATTCCTAGAAGAAACACATATATAATAATATGATAATTGTGAATTCTTATATATCTAAAAAAAAAAAAAAATGAACAAAATTTATTTATACCTGAACAGTAATATCCTTTCCGACATTAATACCGGTCTTAAAAACTATACCCTCAGCTGCGAGTAAAGTTACCCTTCTTTGTACAACTTGTTTGGATAATTTCATCGTAGGTATACCATATTGCAATAATCCTCCGACGCGATCGTTCCTTTCGTATACAGTTACTAAATGACCAGCTTTGTTTAATTGATGTGCAGCAGCTAAACCAGATGGACCAGAACCTATTACCGCTACAGTACGACCAGTTCTTTCTGTTGGTGGATGCGGTACAATCCAACCTTGTTCAAATGCATGATCAATTATTGCACATTCAATATTTTTTATAGTGACAGGAGGTTCAGATATCCCAAGTACGCAAGCTCCTTCGCATGGTGCAGGACATACTCTTCCAGTGAATTCTATATAATTCAATATAATTAAATATTATACCATTTTATATTTACAAACATGACATTTTTATTTTACGTACCTGGAAAATTGTTTGTTTGTAAGAGCTGATTAAGCGCCTCTTTCCAATTGGAATGAAATACTAGATCATTCCACTTAGGAATAATATTTCCAAGTGGACAACCATAACTGCTTTGACAAAATGGAACACCACATTCCATACATCTTGCTGCCTGAATACGTAAACCTTTTCTTACGCCTTGGAAATTATAAATCTCATTCCAATCCTCCATTCGCTTCTCGACTGCCCTGTATGATTCTGTATGTCTCTTGTACTTCATAAATCCTCTACGAATATCATGTACACAAAAATATATAAACTTCATTAATTTCAAACGGGAATTATTAATTAACTTTTAACGACCGTACTTCCCCCCCCCCCCAACCCTATGCACCCACCAATTCTATCTTAATCGTTAATTACCTTATTTTATCTAATTTTTTCTGTGCTACTTCCGTATCTGTGACAGCTTCTTCAATATCCTTCACCTTTGAATCAGTCTCTGAATTTCCATTAAGGATCGGTTGATCCTGCTTAATTTCTTCTAATTGTTTCAATGCTCGTTGATAATCGTAAGGAAATACCTATTTCAATTTACATAATTACAAATTATAATGTGAAAAAAAAAAAAAAAATAAATAAATAAATAAATAAAAAAGACAATACCTTAACAAATCTGGTCGTTGGTTCAGGCCATAAATTCAACAAATCTTTAGCAATAAGCGAACCAGTCTTTTCAACAAATTCTTCCAACAATTGTTTTACATAAGCAATATCTTCCGTATTATTAAGTGGAAGTAGTTCAACCATTTCGGGATTGCATTTGCTAAAATAATATTTATATAATATATATAGTTAAAAAAAAAAAAAAAAAAAAATTAATCAACAGAGAATTTACCTTTTGAATGAACCATCAACATCAAAGACATAAGCTATTCCACCGGACATTCCAGCAGCAAAATTTCGTCCGGTAAGTCCAAGTATAACGGCACATCCACCGGTCATATATTCGCAACCATGATCACCTACACCCTCGACAACTACTACAGCTCCGCTATTACGAACGCTGAATCTCTCGGCCGCTATACCTCGGAAATATGCTTTACCAGATGTTGCGCCATAAAGACAAACGTTTCCTACTATGACATTAGCTTCTGAATTGAAATCAGATTCTTTCGGTGGATATATCACGATTTCACCACCACAAAGACTCTATCCGTCCATATGAAAAGTAATGAGAAATTATTAGAAGGAGAAAAAAACAAAAAAATGAACAAATAATATTAATACAACAGAATATAATAATAGACATATACCTTTCCTACATAATCATTAGCATCTCCTTCAAGTGTCACGTGAATACCTTTCGTCATGAAAGCACAAAAGCTTTGACCTGCTGAACCTTTCATCTTAATATTAATACTATGCTCCGGCAAACCATTTTCTCCAAATTGTCTGAAAAAGATAATCAAACGATGACGTTTTGAAAGATTTTTAATTGTTCATAAAATTTTATAATTCAAAGACTTATTAATTCATGCTTACTTGGATATTTGATAACTCAATGTAGACGCAAATGCACGACATTCGTTGTTAATATTCATTTCAATATCAACACGTTCTTGTTTACCATTTAACAATGGTTCGGCCAATTGGATCAATTCGTTGTCAAGTCTATTCTCTAATTGAAAATCTTGCTTGATAGAACCACCATGAATGTTAACGCCCGGTCTTAAATCCAATGCATTTCGTAGAATATTAACGAAACTCAATGTCTTAGCTTTCTCGATGGTTATGTCGTCACGTACTTTAAGGAAATCTGTGCGGCCTATTAAATCTTGGAATTTTTTAATACCAAGACTCGCCATGTGCTGACGAACCTGTTAAAACACGCAAATAAAAAAAAAAAAAAAAAAAAAAAAAAAAGGAAAAAAAGAAATCCTCATGAATAAAAAAAAAAAAAATTAATTATTTAAAAAGAAAATAGAAATATATTCTTGTTGTTTCGTAACGAAACATTTAATATACCTGCAAAAAAAAAAAACTTACACTCTACAATGTTGTACGTGTAACCAACCATTTTTGTTCACTGTATCAATGGAGCCTTGCCTTCATTTTGCTTTTTTTTTATCTTTTCTATTCTTTTTTTTTTCATTCTCTTTGTTTTCTTTTCTTTCTTTTTTTTTTCTTTTTGTTTTCTTTTTAATTACACTTTTTACATAATATATAAAAATATGATTTAATATTATACAATCAATATTATATTATACCATACCTCTTCGGCAAGTGCAAAGAAGAAATTTATCACGTGTTCCGGTTTCCCTTCGAACTTTTTCCTAAGTACAGGATCTTGCGTGGCGATACCAACGGGACAAGTATTCAAGTGACACTTTCTCATCATAGTACATCCCATAGCAATCAATGGAGCTGTACTGAAACCAAATTCATCTGCACCTAGTAATGCTGCAACTACGATATCAAAACCTGTACGCATCTGTCCGTCTGCTTGAACTACCATGCGTGATCGAAGATTATTCAATGTCAGAACTTGATGAGTCTCCGCTACACCCAATTCCCATGGAAGGCCTGCAGATTTAATGCCTGTCCAACTACTAGCACCAGTACCACCATCGTGACCAGATATCACTACATGTTCAGCTTTACCCTATATATAATAATACATTTTTACAATAAATTATTTATTTTGTTTTTTTTTTTTTTTTTTTTTTTTTTTTTATAACATTATTCTTTTTCATATGATTGTTGTTGTTAATTAAACAAATATACCTTTGCCACGCCCGCTGCGACTACACCCACTCCAACTTCCGATACTAACTTGACGGATATACGAGCATTAGGATTTGCACATTTTAGATCGTAAATTAATTCAGCCAAATCTTCTATCGAATAAATATCATGATGAGGTGGTGGTGAGATAAGACCTACACCGGCTACAGAGTGTCTGGTTGCAGCGATATCTGCAGTGACCTAAAACAAATAAAAAAAAACAAAAAAAATTGAAGTGAAAATTAAATGTTATTATTATTTTTTATTATTAAGATTAAATAAGAAAAAAAAAAAGAGAGAAAAAAGAATATCGCATCATACTTTATAACCGGGTAATTCTCCACCTTCTCCTGGTTTTGCACCCTGAGCCATTTTAATTTGAAGATCATCGGCATTAGCCAAATAACTTGAGGTTACTCCAAATCTACCACTGGCTACTTGCTTTATGGCTGAACGCTTGTTAAATTTTGGATCTTGATTAAGATATCTGAAAAAGAGAAAAAGATTTATTTAAATCGTAAAAAAAAAAAAAATAATGGGAAACTAAATAAGATAAAAATATTATTAACCTGTTTGCATTTTCACCGCCTTCACCTGTATTGGATTTACCACCAATACGATTCATAGCTATTGCTAACGTTGTATGTGCTTCAAGCGAGATACTACCAAAGCTCATAGCTCCAGTAACAAATCGTTTAACAATTTCAGCAGCAGGTTCTACTTCATCTATGTTTATTGGCTTATCTAATTTTTTAATTATTAATTGACCGCGCAACGTACAATTTTGTACCATGTCCATTGATATTTTACGATAATTTTCATAAGCATTATTGCTTTTCGAAACGACATAATCCTGAAATAATTATTTTATTATTTATATTTCTTCTAAAAAAAAAAATAATAATATAATAACAAATAAAATTAAATATTATTAAATTAATCTCAATATAATTTACCTGCAAGCTAGCTATACTGCCAGGATCATTGATATGTTTTTCTCCGCCAGATCGCCAATGATAAATTCCTGGATTACGAATTATTAACATATCCATTGGTTTATTACAATATGTTATTTGATGCCTTTCAAATGCCTCTTTAGCTAACATTTCAAATGTTACTCCACCAATACGTGACTGAGTGCCCTAAATATAAATACATAAAAAAACTCTTTAAAGAATTCATATAAAATTATTTAAAAGTGAAATTATTTCTTTTTCTTTTTGATCTTCCAAGTACATCATATTTTTGATTGAATCATACATTTAATCATTAATTGGATCCAATATATAATCATTTGTAATAAGTTCATCATTTTTGATATTCATTTTGATATTTAAAATACACACACACACACACACACACACACACACACACATACACACACACGAAACTTATTATAATTTTTAACGTACCTTGAAACACTTATCTATTACTTCATCAGCTAATCCAACTGCTTCAAAGATTTGTGCTCCTTTATAAGATTGTAAAGTTGATATTCCCATTTTTGCCATTACTTTTGCTATACCACGTTCCATAGCTTCAGAATAATTCTAAAAAAACAAAAAAGAAAATATACATATATGCATTTAATTTTGAATTTAAAAAAAAAAAAGAAATTGATCTCTAATCTATAATTTTTTTTTTTTTTTTTTTTTTTTTTTTTTACCTTATATATGACTTCATCGGTAAATGTATAATCAAAAACTCCATCTGCTCTTAAATTCTTTGCCATTTCAAATACAAGATATGGACAAATAGCATCTGCGCCATAACCAAGTAAGACGCATATATGATGTACTTCTCTAGCCTCAGCGGTTTCCAAGATAAGACCAACTTTCATTCGTTGTCTCTCTTCGATCAAAAAATGATGTACTGCTCCTAATACTAATAAGCTGCTAACAGGTACTCTAAAGTAATCAAAAGTTTAACTTAAATTAATAAAATGTATACATAAAGAATTAAAATCGCATTATATATGACTTAAATCATCGAAAGAAAATTTCACCTTTCTGGACCACCTTGTCGATCGGATAATACAATTAATTGATAACCACCTCTAGCAGCTTCGTTAGCTTCATTACAGACACGATTCAGTGTCTTTACAAAATCAAGAGGTCCATCTTCAACGGGATATGTTGCATCAATTACTTTGGTCTTCCATCCACGATGTTTTGTTTGCTTAAGAACTTCAAGATCGTCGAGAGATAAAATTGGTTGTTCTAAGAACAATCTATGTACTTGGAGTTCACTTGGTTCTAAAATATTGCTCACAGGACCAATTGGACAAAGCATTGACATGACGATCTTTTCTCTAAACGGATCAATTGGAGGATTTGTCACCTAATATAAAAGATTAAATAAATGAATATATATTATAGACTTAATTGAAAAGAGAAAAAAGAAAAAAAAAAAGAAACAAAACAAAAAAGAACAAGAATAATGGATATGACGTATAAAATTTTACCTGTGCAAATAATTGTTTAAAGTATTCGTATGGTAATGGTTGAAATTGCGATAGACACGCAAGCGGCGCATCATTACCCATAGAACCAAGAGCTTCTTTTCTAATTGAAAAAGAAGAAAACAAAAAAAGAAATTTTTATTTGTAATAAAGTAAAAAAAAAATAAATAAATAAATAAATAAATAAATAGCAAATTATTTTTAATATATCAAAAGATTACATAATTGTGAATTATAAAAATATATTACATACTTGGATTTTATCATTGGAAGTAATAGCAGGTTGATGGTCTCCAATGTATATCCATACAAAGACAATCTTTTATCACCACCCCAGACACGATTGACAGCAGAAATTTCATTGAGACCATTGATAATATTTTTTTTCTGAACATCAGAATTGTATCCATTCTCAACTGTGTTCGATGTATCACCATTATTAGCGGCATGAGCAGCACGTATTTCATCCATTGTTATCTGTTTTTAAACAAAGCTTAAATGTTACTAAATGTATAACTTGTACGAGCTTTAAAAAAAGAAAAAAAAAAACCGGGAAAGCAAAACTCTAATTATTCACAAGCACAATTGAAGAGAATATTATAAATGATAATACTATATATTTTACCTACTATATATTTTCTCCAGTACCTGTTTCTTTGTGATGACATTAGCAATGATAATATTAAAAAGCATACACTATTTATAATAATAATGGAAATGTATACATTTTAAAATGAATAAATAATAAATGCAAGTAAATGTTCTTTTGTTTAAAAGAACTAAATCTTCCATCATGAAATAAATATTAAAGATACGAAATATTTAGAAATATGCTTTTGGTCTATCTAATGAGAAATGAAAAAAAAAAAAAAATGTGAAAGTAAAAAATAGAAACGAATCCCAATCCTATTCAAAATATTATAAATATGGATGAGCTATAGGATGAAGGAAACACAAAAATAATAAGCTTTTTATACCGCAAAATTCTATATATACAACCAACATATTGCTTCCTAATTTAATATTTACACACATAAAAAATAATATTTAAAAAATATACAGTGCTCCAATAAATTAGCGACATGATTTAAGCTTACAACACCTCTCTTTAAGGTTACGACTCACCCTCTGCACACAACACGATGGATGTCAGCACATAGGAAAAGTGAAAAAGATTATTTTGTATTAGTATATTCTCTATGTAAAAAAAAAAAAAAAAAAAAAAAAACAAAAAAAAAAAAAGAACCACTTTTCTCTCCTCGTAACTTAAATCACACCCAATAATAAATGTTATCGAAATTGTGCCGTATCCAAGCACATATTTAGTAGAAATTTTATTTTTTTACAATAATACTGTAGCTTTGTTATAAGTGTGCATCCCATTAATTGTTATGACATGTGATAATGATTTGACGTAACAATAGATATAACGACGATGTAATAATTTGACAAAAAGCATAAACAAAAAAGAATATAATGTATCGTAAAAAAAAAAAAAAAAAAAAGGAAAAAGAATATATATATATGTATACATAAAGAAAAGAGGAACTGCATCAATTACCTGTTCTCTTAGCCACTTAGAATGAGGCCTGCTTCTCGCAATGTGTTGTTTTAGTTCAACATCTTGTATTATCTTCTTTTCTTCTGTGTCAACGAGGAGCATTCTTCCAGGCTTCAAACGGCTCTGTAAATAAAACGAAGCATGAATAATCATTTTCAATTAAACTTTACAAATGATCGGCATTTATATGACAGCACTGGATGACGGTCCTACTGCTTTATACATACCTAGTCCCTAAATGACAAATTAAACATCATACATATGACATGAGAAAAAAATAAATAAAACATAGCATGTGATTTGCCATTATGCATACAATAAATACAATAGCATAAAAACATATGCATGTTAGACGGTGTCATTCTATCCTTACCGAACAGATGAAAATAACTAATAGTTTCGTTGAACATTCTACTGATGCAACCTCGAAGAATGAAAACATAAAAAATATATATATATAATATATATAACAATATTATATTACAATACTTCTTTTCTTTTTCTTTTTTTTTTCTTTTTAAATTCACTACATTTCGCTCACAGATAATTTTTCACATCCTCGTGGAACACACAACACTCTCTTTTTCAATGATTCTATTCTCACAACTTTATAATTATTATCCCTGAATCAAAAACAATTTAACATATGTATTTTAAATGTCACAAGCATAATACATACATAGAAATGTATAATAAAATAAGAATAGAAATAGAAATAAAATAAAATAAAAAAATATATATATATACATAAAGACATTGTTTTTATATAAAAAGGGAAAATAATTAATCCGTACGTGGGAAATGAATCACAAAGTAATGTTAAATGGGAGCAATGCGAATAATGGCAAAAATAATTATGTATGATAAATGAACATGTATGTACGAAGCATTTCACGTAGAATGGTTCCGTTTTATATTTGCTTGGCTATAATGCATCCTATAACGCAATCCTTAAGTAGCGTTCATATCTTCGGCTCTTTTTTATTTATTTATTTATTTTTTTTTTCATCTTGAACAAGAGATAGCAGAAGATTCGATCAGCTGGGCCTCGATCGAAAAAAACTGTAGGTTCCTCCTCCTCCTCCTCCTCCCTTGTAAAAATATTTTGTCCCCCTAGAGCTAAAATTCCTCTATATTTGTGAATAATATAGAGCAATAAAGAGAGAAAGAGAGAGGACAGATGGATGATAGAAAGAAAGAAAGAGAGAAAGGTAGAATGAGAAAGGGAGAAAAAAAGAGAGAGAAAGATAGAGAGATAGCCATCATATTAGACGAGGACGACGACGGACGATGTAAAACACTTAAATAAATTAGCACTATTTAGAAGAGCTAATTCTGCTGAAAAATTCCCATTCTGAGAGAGATAGAGAGAGAGAGAGAGTGAGAGAGAGAGGAGAGCCGAGAGTTTCGTTGGTTCCTTTAATTCCTTGATTACCTTCAGGATTATATTGCTGGGCGGTGTGTCATAAACGCCCACTTCGGACGCCATCACCATCATGTTATCCTTAGTGACGTAGAAGCGCGAGGGGCGCAGGCCATTTCTGCCAAACAAAAATTCAAAAAAGTCTTTTTTATTATCACCTCTGTGTCGCAAACTAGTATCTGCTGTCTATATTGTTGTTTGTTCGCTTGCCTTCCTGCTCGCATTCGTATATAGAGTTCTGTACACGCACACACACACACACCTACTTAATCAATCCGGTTTTTTTTTTTTTTTTTTTTTTTTTTTCTTTTCTTTACCTTCATCTATTAGGCACCCCAGAGAAGAGTTGGAACGACGTATCTAAGTCATCGTAAACACTCATCGATTTTACTCCAGGATCTGTGTGTAACGACGTTACGTAGTAGTGCAACGAAACAACGTCGTACTTTTTTTTGCCCGACACCAAAAAAAAAGAAAAACGCAGAGGGAAGCGCGAGCGATAACTATACATTTATTTTATACATATGTGTAATCAACTATAATATTATATTGAGAGAAGTATATTATATTATGATGAGAAGGCATAATAATAATAATAATAATAATAATAATAATAATAATAATAATAATAATAATAAGAGCAAACGTGAAGAACAAATATGTGTTACATTTCAATCAGATTTCTTTTTTCTTTTTTGTTTTCTTTTTCTTTTCCTTTTTTTCTTTTTTTTTTTCAACCTTTATTTCCTTGTTTAAAATATTTCTGTATAATAAATTTTTCATTTCTTTTTTTTTGTTTTTGCTCGTCTTCCCTCTACACACACTACCACCCAATCCACGTTTACCTTCAATCGAATACTCTCTCTGCTTCTTTTTTCATATCATTTTCTATTTAAATACTATTATATACCGTTATTCGTTAACCATTTTCTCATGACACCGTGTATATATATTCATTGAAGAATTACTATTTTGAGCTTTAACATGTCTGATGACAGATACATGTCTATAATACGACACGTAACTATCTGTACGAGTAGAATCAATACTGTTGTGTACATGTCCATAATAAAAAAAAAAAATAAATTTATACCATTTTTTTTTTCCCACAAATAACATTATAAATTTAGCAGTACTAGAACCTACTCGTGATAATTAATCAGACCTCATGGAAATGATAGGAAACTGTTGTAAAATGTAATATAAATTTCTACCTGTCTAAGATAGCACCAACGTAACGACCATCGGTGAATGTAAGTAAAGCTGGACCATCCCAGGGTTCCATAGAACATGCGGCCCAATGATAAAAGTCTCTTTTCTCCGTAGCCATTGTAAGATCGTTTTGCCAAGCCTCCGGTACCATAGTCATAACAGCCTAAAGAATTATACATATATTATATATTTTATAAAATTATTTGATTTAATTTACAATATGAGGAAAAAGAAAAAAGAGAAAAGAAAAAAAAAACTAATCCCATTGATGTCACAACTATAATAAAACTTATCTCTCTATTATCGTACACAATAAAGATTAATTGATATGATAATGTAAATAATTATGATTATTATTACCTCAGGCAATGAACGTTGTCCCGCCATTACCAAAAATTCAAGTACACAATCGGCTGCACCAGAATCCGAAAGATTTGGCTCTACGACTGGATAAAGATCTTTCAATTGATTACCATAAATCTTACTGCTCATAACCCCCTCACGGGCTTTCATAAGATTAACATTTCCTCGTAAAGTATTGATTTCACCGTTATGCGCTAGTAATCTATGATATATAAGGATTATATAATTTTATTAATGATAAAACATACGTATATATATACAATGTTATATTTTTATATTAAAAAAAAAAAAAGAAAAAAAAACTAGTTCCTGTAAAAGATAACATTGTTATCAGAACTTGATAATATTGTTTACTTACCGCAATGGGTGTGCCCTTTCCCAACTAGGGAATGTATTTGTGGAAAATCTTGTATGAACTAATGCCAAATAAGTCTCGAATTTTGGTGACTATAATAAAAAAAAATATTCTTAATTATTTACACAAAAAATTTTGATATATATATATATATATATGTACATATATGTATATACATATGATATATATACATATGTATATATATTTACGGTCTGTGTTGCATATTCATATGAAGGTGATAATATCGTATATAGATATTGTAGAACGAATCATTTAAAATATTACTTTTATCTAAATTATACACACACACACACACATATATATATATATATATATATATATATATATATATATATATGAAGATTAATTGAAATTATTTAATATTTACCTTTAAGTCCTCAAAGTATGACCAGAGTTGATCTGCTGTAAGTTGGCCTTTATAGACAACAGTTTTCAAAGAGAGCGAACAAATATAATATCTTAAGTCTGCTTTAGGTATGGTATGAGATGATCTCTTTCTTAATACAAAAATCTACAAAATAGATTAATCAATGATACATTGCAAGATAAAAATGTAAAAGAAATCGATATTTAAAAAAAAAAAAAGAAAAATCATTGGATAATAAATCAAAAATAATTAATTGAAAAAAAAAATAATCTGATTTAATTTTAATTATAACGATTGTTTCAACATCCAATAATATACCTGACGTTGAAGAATTTCTTTATCCTCTTGATCGCCCGTAACAAATACTTGTCGCATATAAGGTTCACATTTTTTTGCAACCTGGCCAATTTGCGTGTCATCCGTTGGGACATCGCGCCAACAAATTACCTATAAAATAATTATCCCTTACTTCAAGTAAAATTCTAATAATAATAAATATTATATACTACGTAACTATTATAACACGTATAATAAATGTCATTATAATTAATTATAAAAAAAAAAAAAAAAAAAAAAAAAAATATATATATATATATAAAATAAAGATCTTACTCTTAGGCTACATTCTTCGGCTAATTTCTCAAATGCAGCTTCAGTTTTCTTATGGGTATTCTTGTCAAGGAAAAGTATGCCAGTAGCATAACGTCCGATATCGGGCAACTCAATATTCTGTTGCTCGCTAAAATAATAAATATATAAATTATTCAAATAAATCAATCAATTGAAATCATTGGATAAACACACACACACACAGACACACACACACATATATATATATCATTCTAGTGCATAAGCGCGCATACGCACACGCATTATAAATGCACGAACACTTAAGTATTCAATTTGTATACATACACACTTATTATATATATATATATATATATATATATATATCTGATTTATGTAATTGATAGCACATATAGTATTATGCGGAGGATTAGTTACAATGAATTGCGCACGATTATCAATACGCACGGAACTCTCAAATTAGAGTCAACTTTCAGACTTATTACGAAGTTATGCAATCTGTTATATATATGTGTATATATCAACAGGTATATCAGTTTTATTGATTATAGTTTTAAATGATAAGAAATAGATAATAAAATATTTTATATGTACGAATACATATATACACGTATTAAAAACCACATTCTACTTGAAAAAATATAAATAATGATAATATTTTATTCTTTCGTTTATTTTAATCTATAATAGTTATATAGAAAGAGTCAAGTTCAAAAAAGAAGAAAAAGAAGAAAAAAAAGAGAAAAAAAGAAGTAGATAATACATAAGAATCAACAATGTTAACATTTTATATTCATACATGTATTAACACTGTCATGGCCCGATAACACAACGTATCCATTATCTATGTTAAATTCTCTGATAAAAATTTTAATTATAAGAACATTTAATGCTACTAACTACGGAAGTTTTCGATAAGAGTAAAGAAAGGTCTATATTTATATTTATATTTATATTTATATTTATATTTATATTTATATTTATATTTATATTTATATTTATATTTATATTTATATATATATATTTTTTTTTCTTAATAATGATTAAAGACAACGCCTCCTTCCCTCCCTCTTCTCTTCCTCATTTATTCCCATGAATGAGAAAATTCAAACTGTTAAATTATTATCACTGTTGCATTATTATCTATCTCTGCGTATGACGTATATCACTCGATTAAGTCTTCGGAAATTTCGAAATAACTTTGAAATAAGAGTATGATATTTCCTTTAATACTTGGAAATATTCTTACCGAATCTCATCTGCGTAATATTCATGTGGTATAGCACATAATACACCGGCACCATCACCGGTATCATTATCGCAAGCACACGCACCTCTGTGATTCATCCGTGCGGATAATGTCTGAGCATCACGAATAATCTGAAATATTGATTTTAATTAATTAATAACAATTAATATATAACTTACATAGAAATTACTTATTCACACATATATTTATATATTATATAGATAGGATGTTTCTAAAAAATTTGATCCATACTTCAGAACTAAGTAAGTATCAAAGGGATAATCCCCCATGGAATAACTTTTTACAACTTTTTTTTTTTTTTTTTTTTTTTTTTTTTTTTTTTTTTTTTTTTTTTTTTTTTTTTTTTTTTTTTTTTTTTTTTTTATAACTGTTAAAACAAACGATAAAAAATTAATCGCATCAGATTATTTTTAAATATTTAACATTACTCTGAAGTATCTAAATAGATTGTTACGATATGATCATGAAGTATTTAATCAAAACATTTTGATAGATCCTCCCACATCATCTCTTTCCATCGATCCATCCCGTTCCTTGTATACATATATAAAATATATAATATCATTAGTATTCAAACATCGTATTAATTTACCTTATGAGATCTCTTGCCATCGATAGCAACGATAAATCCAACACCACATGCTTCCTTCTCAAGTATTGGATCGTAAAGGCCTTGTTTAGGAGGAAGAGACCAATAATTTCCAGAACTCATCTTTTCGATCTGAAGAAAAAAAAAAAAAAGAAAAGAAAAATAAGAGATAAGAAAAAAATTAAGAAGCAATTGAAATATCAATATTTATTCGTCCTCCTTTCTTCTATCTCTTTCTTATATACACAACATATACATATATACATATACATATACATACATACATATATATATATTTCCTTGAATAAATAGCAATCAAGAAATTCATCAATACATTTTACATATGGCATATGCGTATCGAATAAAACTTGTGATCCAATTTTGAAAATTTCCATACAAAACCACACGAATACATATGTACGTGCGTTATGAATATTTTAATAAGTGGCCTGAATATTTTAAGTAAGAAGAAAAGAAACGAAAGAAAAAAAAGAAAAAAAAAATCAACGAGACATAAACAGAAATAAATTCCAAAGCTAATCCAAAAAGCAATTTCCGTATTGTTCACAAAATGGATTGTATATAACGTATATCTCTAACAACTTTATTATTCCTTTTTATAACGCACAATATTACGTGTCGCGGGCATGCGCGCGCACAAAAATATCGCTTGTTAATAATATTAATAATAATAATAATAACAATAATAATAATAATAATAATAATAATGTATAACTCTAGTTATGTAATACCATGAATCTGTATTTAACGATCAGATTTACAAAGTTATAAAATAAATAATTCTTACGTTAAAATGATCTATTAATAATAAGTGGAAATATTTTTGAACAATTAATTTTCCCGTAGAAGTTCTTCTGGTTCAATGGACGACGAATTTAAATGCATTTCACTTTCTAAAGTCTCTTATAACGCGTATGTATGTATGCATGTATGTATGTATGCATGTATGATATATGTACATATATATATATATATACATATGTGTGTGTGTGAATACAAGTTTTTTTTTTTTTATCGATCGCTTCGAAAGTAATCTCGGCTTGTTCTCTTGCTTCATACACAAGGAGTTTCGATCACATTTAACCATGCACCGGGTAGATAGATAGAGATAGGTAGTAGGTAAGTAAGATTGTTACGTCATATGATGCGAAAAGCCAAATAACATAGGGATCAATAAATCTCACGCCCACGCATTCGTTCGTTCGTTCAAACGGTATGAAAAGTCAGAATACCGACGATGAAAACAAGGAATATCTTTTTCAATTGAGATTATCGAACCGTTTCTACGTATAAAAATAAAATCCAAGTTATTTTAAAAGATTTTTAACCAAACATCTTTTATATTCGAAAAGTAGTAATAATATGTTTCATACTTCGATCATATGGTTCTTCATATAATAGAATAAATATATAATAATAAAAATAATAAATAAATAAATAAATATACATATCTATACATATATAATAAATATATTAACAAACATTCTAGAAAATCGATAATATGAAAATTAATCGATACGATATAAACGATACCACGTAATGACGATTTATACGAAAATATTCCACTTCAATAATTACATTCTATTATACAAGTTGCATGTATTTATGCAAACACATAGGAATATCTCTAGTGAAACAAAAAATTCAACGTTGCTTTAAGAAAAATTATTGAAAATAATTTACGAAATATATTTTACAATATGTTTCATAAAAATATGATATGTGATACAATAACCTGACACAACGCCGCCATGTTGTAATCCCAGTAAAAAAAATAATTATTTGAGAGAGAGAGAGAGAGAGAGAGAGAGAGAGAGAGAGAGAGAAAGAGAGAGAGAGAGAGAGAAAGAGAGAGAGATAGAAGGAAAAAAGATTAGATTTCCAATTGGTTTTGTATTAAACTAAATCAAAAAAAAAAAAAAAAAAAACTTCATACTAGATACATCGTCGACCTTCGTCAATAGGATTGATGAGGAAAATGATAAAAAGGAAATAAAAAAAAAAAAATAATAAAAATAAAAATAAAAACAATAATAATAATAATAAAAAATAAGAAAGAAATAGAAACAAAAAAAAAACTTAATAAGAAGACGTAACTATATATGCTTCGTATTTCAAAACCGCGCGAGGTCACGTGGTATCGTTTTAAATTGCGCGCATTTACAGCCTTGTCCCATGTTAACCAATTAATACGTATCGAATGTTTACACACACACACACATACACACACACACAGAAAGAGAGAGGAGAGAGAGAGACGTATATATATATATATTGATGATTACAATACAATACGATAAGATATTTGACACGAAGTACAAGCGATAAATCGATAGATTAGAATAGAAAAATATCAATGAACTCTTACGGGTGGTTACTATTTTTATCAAATGGTATCTGCGTAATTTCACGTAATTACTTATGTCAAACGATTATTAATGTATGTATGAGCATATATGTATACGAAAGCACAAAGTACGACGCCATCGGTGCAACATCCACAAAAGATAACGATTCACAATGCGTTTTCAGTTCATCTAATTCTTAGATTTTTCTGCTTTTTCTTCTTTCTCTCTCTCTCTCTCTCTCTTTTCTTTTCTTTCTCTCTCCCCTTATCCGTTAATTTTTGTCTTACGTTCGTTCATATTTCGTAATTTTTCGTTTTGACTATTTTTTACTAATCCTCCACATAAGTGTATAAATGTCTCACTTTTTTTTTTTTTTTTTTCCCCTAATTAACATAAATTATACTGATATAAGTAATTTAATTAATAGAAAAATTATGAAATATCGGACATAAAATATTTTTCTACAGGCACGATAAAAAAAAAAAAAAAAAAAAAAAAAAAAAGAAAGCGAATGAAATCTTTTTGATAAATATTTCGTTGAAAGTTTTTTGTTAATAAAATAAAATAAAATAATATATATATATAAAAGTTGCAGTTAAACATAAATTTTTAGTTTATCAATTATACAGAACCAAAACGAAAAAGATTAATCTCGTATATCAGTACTCAGTATATCAGATTATCATTGCTTTTACGTAAATGTTTGTAAATACGTCTTTTCTTTAAGAAAAGTTTTTATCATCGTCATCGTTGACATTCATCTTTGTAACTGTCCGATTACATGATATTCGATAAGCTTTTTTCCATCATCTCTCTCTCTCTCTCTCTCTCTCCCTCTCTACTTTTTTTTATGTAACAGTCGTTATCGTTATAATTTTCAAACGATTTTATAATCTCAATTGTGAACATTGCGTGCAATTACTTATATTATTTTTATAACAAAAAAAAAAAAAAAAAAAAAAAAAAAGAAATGTCGAATCAAAATTTGAGTCGATTGATAAAGTTATCAAATGCATTTGATCGATTAATAAAACTTTTACGACGTTATCGTAAACGCCCTCTTTATAACGATTGCAGTAAAAAAAAAAAAAAGAATAAAAAAAAAATTGTTTCCAATGAATTTCATAAGAAACGCTCTATCGTACAATTAGTATTTACTTCATTCACAAAATGACCTAAAATCCGAGGATTGAAATATTTTCACGGTCGAAATAAGTAAACAAACTTTGTTTTCGTTGCAAACGAGCCACTCGTCGTTAATTTACATTCGCAAGGAGAAGAGAAAAGGGGAAGACTTTTGCCTGGCTTAATTCTCTCTCTTCTACCAGATTTTCATCTCTTCCAGACGGTTAATTTAAATTCACGATATAAAATCATGCTCTTGGATAAATAAAACGTGTCGAATTTATGCAGACGACAAAATTATAGTCTTTCTTATTCTCCTCACTCCCTCCTACCCCGTCCCACCCTTCCTCACTCCATCTCTCTCTGTCTCTCTCTTTTTCTCCCTATTTGAGAGAGAAATACTTTTTCATTCTATCTTACTATCTCAGGACACACATAAACACACACACACACACACACACACACACACACACTCTCTCTCTCTCTCTCTCTCTCTCTCTCTCTCTCTCTCTCTCTCTCTCTCTCTCTCTCTCTCTCTCTCTCTCTCTCTCTCTCTCTCTCTCTCTCTCTCTCTCTCTCTCTCTCTCTCTCTCTCTCTCTCTCTCTCTCTCTCTCTCTCTCTTTCTAAAAACTCACCTTCAAAAGGAAGAAAAATTATTGCGTAGTACCGAAACGAAGTCCCTATTGAATTCTCCTTCCTTAGAATTCCTTATTCTTCTTTCTTTAGCGCACACTACTTGTCCTTTTCTATTCTTCTTTTTCGAAGAGAAAAAAAGAAAAAAAGAAAGAAAGAAAAATAGGAGGAAAAAGAAAAGGTAAAATTTCTCGTTAATCTGTCAACGGACGCCGAGACACCGACCTCCCACGGCGATCGAATCTCTTGAACTTTGAACTTGTCTGAACTTGAATTATTTATCAAAAAACAAAGTGGAAAATGTCTTTTTAAGACTCTCTCCCTGTCTATCCCCAGAATTCTTTCGTATATTAATTTTACAGAATTTGAAGATTAGAAATCGGTTATTAGAGCTAGCGAATCGTTCCTCTTATTCCTTTTCTCTTTTAACACACAGGCGTCAGTCGTGGACCTCGACCGTTAATAGAACAGAACTGGCGGAGAAGGAACTCGTAAAATAGACCGGCAGAGAGTACTGGCGGGAGTTAACCACGCTGAAAAAACAAGTTAAAAAGATAAGGACGGAACTCGAGGTGATCCGAACGAGGCTACGTACTAGAGTGTTGCCTCTATACGAGATACCACCGCTCGTACCGCTTCACCTCCCCACCACATTACCAATCTATCCTTCCTACTCTACTGTGCTTTACCCCCACCACATTACCCATCCATCCTTCCTACTCTACACTGCTTTACCCCCACCACATTGTTCATCTATCCTTCTTACTACTCTGCTTTACCCCCACCATATCCTGCCAACTACGTCTCCGGCGAGTACTTCACGTTAACGACTCGTGCAAGGTACTTCCATCTTTCAAAAACCCTTATATATTTTTGTATTCTTTCTTTCTTTATTTATTTATTTATTTATTTATTTATTTATATATTCTTCTTTCTCCAATAATTATCGAATATTTATTCTCGATCGTTTAATTCGCGAAATCGTAATTAATTTAATGAACAATAATCATTTAAATAATGTCGCCATTAAAGAATACGTAATTATTATTATTATTATTTATCGATTTTATATAACCTTTTTCGTTTCTTTTACTTTTCTTTTTCTTTTTTTTTTTTTTTTTTTTGTTTCTCCTTATCATAAATTTCAAAATATTAAAAATAGAAATCTCTCATAGTATATCAGAGATGACAACGATGATATACCGATTGCACAAAGTTCGCTAATAAGAATGCTAATGTAATTAAAACAATTAATAGATGGCCTATTAGGAGGATCTTCTATTAAGGAAGCTATGTTAGGCGAGATTGATGAATTATGTAGAGAATATGTTTTCTTAGGAATAAATAAATATAGAAAGGAAAGAGAAAGAGGGGAAAGAGGAAGAGAGAGAGAGAGAGAGAGAGAGAGAAATCGACGATCGTAAATACGAGAAAATTAATCGATAAGATAAGTTTTTTTTTAGAATTCTAATTAAATCTGATAATATTATATACTGATCTATCATTAGAATTTAAACCATGGACTTGACCGTATATAAAGATTTCGACTTTTTGAATGGAAAATAGATAAACTAAAATCAAATATTATCGTGCGTGATAAGTAGTTAACATAAATTAGACGTAACAATTCATTTCTAATGATAGAAGAAAAAAAGGAAAAAAAAAAAAAAAAAAAAAAAAAAAAGAAAGAACGAACAAACAAAATAAAAAAGAAAAATAAATAATCAATCTTTTGAAAAGGACGTACAAACTCGATAATGAAGAGCAATGTATTTATAGGTGGATATCAAAAATTCTGAAAAGGCAGATACAAATGTCGAAATGTATAAAAACATGCATACATCTTAGCATTTGCGAAATCACTCGAATAAGATTTCTATTTTAAATGATGGCGCTTACGTTTGCAGGAAAACGTAATCCAATTCTTATACGTATCGATTCGATATTTCAACAAAAATATATATAATAAACATTTAAAAGAATTTTATCGATTTTATATCCAATCATACGATTGTGTGTTAATACACGTTAATGCGTACATGATTATATGATAGCTCATCAATGAAATATAATAAGGAAATTTTGTTATTTCTTTTTATTACGTTGAAATACGATTAAATTTAAAATCGTTAAAAAATGAAAAAAAAAATATATATATATATATAGATTATATTTATTACAAAAAAAAAAAAAGAAAAAAAAAGCACGACTTAGAAAAGTAGAACAGAAACTTTTCGAAAGAATGAAAACAAAACACGTAAGATATCTAATTAGAAATTCTTAAACTATATTTGAATCTAAGAAATTAAACGATACGCATTAGGAATTTTGTGTAACTTTCGAAGATAACGTTAGAATGACTGCCGAATTTAATCCTTGCCAATTTACGAGTGGCATTTTGCCAATATTATCAGCAGGTATGTATGAGAAATGTTATACCCTTGCTACGCAATAATATTTGATTTATATTTCTTCGATAGATTAATACTTTCAACGTCAATATATATATATATATATATATATATATATATATATATATCTTTTAATATTTATTATAAAACTTTGTTAATAACACGATGTCTATAATCTTCGATTCATTTATCGTCCTAAGGTCAAGTGGTTAAATAAATTCTTTATTTAAGAACGTACTACATATCTTTGCCTTAATATTATCTTTGTTCAAAAATTATTATCGTTCACATATTATGTGATATCATAGATATATGTCTCATTATTATAACTAGCTTCCTGTAATAATGTTTTTGATGATAATAATAAATTAAATTAATTAAATTCTCGTACGATATCTTTATTTTCATATTGAAAAATTATTAATCATATATAACTGTATTTTTATCTATTCTAAAATCATTTACTCGGCTTTTTAAAGTTAAACTTTTCCTACAATAGCGTTTCGTGATCGATAAAAGATCATAGGACAAATTTACAAGTACAACTAGGGCTTGATTTCGTCATCACTCTTTCTCTTTCTCTCTTTCTCTCTCTCTCTCTCTCTCTCTCTCTCTCTCTCTCTCTCTTTCTTTTTTTTTTCTCTGTCTCTCCACCTACCTACCTCTACCTATCTATCTATCTTTCTCTCTCTCTATCGACCCCACAAAAGAAACGTTCAAATTTATTGGCATAGCATCAAGGTCAATTGGTTCTTTCTCGTCCTAGGATAATCTGTAATATGTTATTTGTTAAGCCTGATCAATTATAAACGCATAAAAGGATCTTTTCGAGAAATTTCAATAATATTATTAATCAATTCTCCAATTAAATATATATATATATATATTTCATAGTTTTAAATTATGGTAATAATTCGACCTTTGTACCATCTTAATAAAAAATGTGTATGATAAAATAAATAGATAACGATATAGAAAAAAAAAAAAAAAAAAAAAAAAAAAAAAAAAAAAAAAAAAGAAACGAAGAAACATATAAGATAATAAATTATTATAAAATAAAAATTATCATATTTTTTTCCTTTTGGATACCTCTAGTAAATGGAGTGATGACCGACTGATAATAAGGAAGCTTGTAATATATTCATCCCGTCATACTGACACGAATTGCGAGCAATTTGTAAGAAACCATCTGTAAGATAAGGATATAGTAGCAATTAGTACCGAGTGTCATTACGAAAGAATTATGTACACGGTTTAAATATATCCTGATAACAAAACCCCTTACATCATCTGCTATTAGATGACATACCACGTACCTCAAATTGGTACTGTTTGTTCAACAAAATTGGTATCATTTTAAATAAGCACATATATTTTCTAAATCCCTTAATTTGCTTTTATGAACTTATTCATATCTTATTTACATATATACAATCTTGATTGTTCCTTGATTTATTTTTTTTTTTCTTTTTTTATTATTACAAAACATATGAACAATGATTTCTTATATATATATATATATATATATATATATATATATATATATATATTGTTAATTTAGAAAAAAAGAAGAAAAAAAAATTTTCGTGTGGTAAATACAAACATACATAAATGTATGCGTATATAATTATCCTCTTTCAACACATACACATACATACACACACACACACACACTAAATCATTCTCATTCTTATCAAACAAAAACGATCACAAACGCGTTGATAGATTATGTAGTGATTCACAGACTTCAAATGGTGACAATTTTCATCCTTTATCGTTTTTATCTTTTCATAATTCGACGTAATTTCATTTTTGTTACATACATGTCTTCGACAAATGTCGAATATCTATTTATAATTAGAAGAAATAGATAATATTTATCAGATCGATTAATATATATATATATTAATATAATTATATTATAATATAATTATATTAATATAATATATATATATATATATATATATCATCAGTTTCAGTATATAGACATATTTAATAAAATATTATTTATTTAGATATAAAATATAGAAAAATTCAATTTTTATATTATAATATTATATAAATACTTATTATATAATAATAATAATATTATCATATAATATTAGTAAACTTTATATTAGTATAATATATTAGCATATTATTGTAATAGTATATACTCTATATTATCATATTATTGATTGAAATATACCGAATTCTAACACTATTTTTTAGCCATATATATATATATATATATATATATATATATATATATATATATAAAGTACTGTCTTATTTATTTGAGTAGCCTATCCTTACACTTTTAATGAGTTTGATTTTTCAATAAAAAAAAGTTGCTAATTCTTGAACAAATTTGTTATGTGACTTTGCATAGTGATGAAATATATCTATGTCTTCTCCTTTTTTTTTTTTTTTTTTTAAATTGCGTCGCACCTGTCAACTCGAACACCGTGGTTTCACGTGCTCATGACTTCTGTTTGCGATTTAAACTATTCCATAGTGTTGTTTATTTTATCTATCTATCAATCTATTTATCATCGACCACGCCCATATTTCATTTTACTAACAGAAAGAACAACAGGCAAGAGAGGCTCGATCGATTTTGGTTATACTCCCTCGAACACTATCATTATTGATTATGATCGTTATACAATTGGAAAGAGAGAGAGAAAGAGAGACTATACATTCGTATTTCACGAACTCATTGATTATCATAACGGAATAAATACTTCGATCACTTATCTATATTCTACATACGTATTATTCAATGAACTGTGCTCATATAACATAAAGTCAGACGAAATTATAAATTCCTTTCTTTATATGTAAATCGTAAAATAATTGTATAGATATCTACTATTTTAATCTTGACGTGTGAGAACATAGGATACTTATTGTCAATTTTATTTTTTTCATAATTTTGGGAATAAAACATTTCGGAAAAATAAAAAAAAAAAAAAAAAAAAAATTTAGGTTAGTCTTGATCTTGCATAAGCTGTAATTGTTTTGTTTGTGTCTATTAAAAAAGAATTATATAATTTGAAAAAAATGTCGTTTATTCTATAATAAGAATTTAATTTATATTTAATTATAAGTCTTATTTTTAACAAATACGAGAAGCTTTTTATATAACGTAAAAGAATTAATTGATTTAAAAAATTTTGCCGAGATAACAAACATTGAAAATATTACGTTGTAACGATTT